ACAACTCTGATATATGTAAAGTTATTATTATACAAAAATATTGTATGGGAAACATTAATTAAGGAATGGATGTAAGAGAGAGAGTGCTTGGATGATGAGTGAATGGTTCTGAGAGGTGCCAGCCTGAGAATACAGCAACAAAGGGCTGAAGAAGGCATCAGGTGCCAGTGCAACCAAAAGGTGTCAAGTGGAGAAAACCAAGTACTGGAGGTCCACCCGATGAGATCACTGATGAGCACCTGGCAGCCACCCTGGAGACCTCAGCATGATGCAGCAATTTCCATAGACTAGCATGGGAAGAAATTCCTATAAGAACTGGACTAAAAAACTATGGAATCAGAGTCCAAGGTTCTGCTGCCAACCTACTAGGAGCTTCAGATGCGCATCTGATCAGGACTTCGCTCCCCACTACCATCACTTGTGTACAGACTATCTGGCCAGTATTCTGTCACAAGCAACTTCCAGGCTGGTAACTATAACAAATACACAGAACCTGAATGAATGGATGAATGAATGTTTATTTATATGTATAAGGGTTAAGTAGTTAAACAACGTTGTTTGCTTCTATCTTTTCTTTATTATTTTATTATTATCTTTACAATAAATGTGGCTTTTTGCCTTATCCCCCTCATAAGATCCTGCTTGCTTTTATTTGGTACAACACAGAGCGTAAGATTACTTTCAAGCCACACACTCCAAGTGAGCTTTACATGATAAGCAAAGAGGGAAATGAACAGCACAGTTTCAAACTTCCCAAAAGGACCTTGGAAAACGTCTGTGGTAATTGATATTCTCATCAAATGTTGGGAATGGGCCACATTCACGCAGTTTGAATTTACCTCTCAATAGCACTATTCCTCTGCTAGCAATATAAAAAAATTTTTAAAAAATTAACCATGTAACTGACCAAAATTCTATGTTACAGGGTTAAACGTTTTCAGGGATGTAGAGGTATGGAGGGAAGGGTCCTTGAATGTTGCCACTAACCCTGGACTCTCAGGTGACATCCCTCACTCCTGGTTTGCTCCTCTCCTAGGCTCCCTGCCACTGGCCCTGCTGCTGGAAGGCTCCCAGCCATCAGCTCTGCTGCTGGCAGGCTCTCGACTGCTGGCAGGCTCCAGGCTGCCCGACCCACCGCAGTGCCCCCCCCCCCCCCGCCCTTCCCTGCCGCTGGAGGGTCCCAGCAGTTGAGTTTAGCCATTAACAGCAACCAATAAGCATCAACTTTTCAGTTAAATGGTTAAACTCTTACATCCTTATCCCCTGCATAGTCATGTAACACACCATCTTTGCATGTGTATATATCCCTGCCAAAATGAAGTTTCCATTTCATGCATCTAACAAAGTGTCTTCCAGCACAATAAATTTGTTAGTCTTTAAGGTCCCAAAGGACTCCTCATTGGTTTTGCTGAAACAGACTAACACAGCTACTACCCCTCAAACAAACAAAAAAACCAAAAACCAAAACGGCTGCCCAGAGAGGAAAACACTGGCAACAAGATCCAAATGTTGGCAAGTCTGGACTTTAAGCTTTTGTATTTAATGTGTGAACCTGGTTTAAAATCAAAACTGTTTACCCAGAAATAGATTCAAGTTGTCTAATATTCCACCCACAACAGACTAGTATGAAAACTTATTTTTCTGAAGCATGACTCATTACAAATCGAATGTGTCTCTCCAAAAGCTTTGCTCCAAAATATTTAAAGACTTAAGAGGGAAACGTATAGTTGTAACTAAGTGTTTGCAAATTCTGATACAGTTCAGCACACTGTATTCATAGACACATCCAGGATTCCTTAATCACCTGATATGTGATTACCACTGACAGCACACAAGAGTGCCAACTACACATCAGCACAAGGAAGGAGTTCAGCACTGCACAGGGCAGGACTCCTAATGCTTCATCCCTTAGAAGGGCTGCCAGAGGAGGGCAACTTTAATCTATTGTCTGCCTCCTTCCCAGCATTCACCTCCTGCTTTTGGGACTGTGCTGACTGATTGCCCTTAGGCAACACAATTCACCTCCAGAAATAGGTTCCCTCACCAATTTCTCTGAACCTATTTTGCAACTTCATTTGAGCACAAAAGTCCAAACATCTCATGAGAGAGCCCTTCTGAATTTTAGTGTTGATTCACATTATCTTAGGAACAAGTAACTGACACGTTTTAACAGTAATTAACACCACTAAGATACACATTCCAGTGAGACATTCTCCACATTGTTCTTTTCTGTCACCAGTTTAGTGATTTAGCAATTGTGGCTTACCCTGGTACAAATAGTCACAGAGTAGATATCTTTAAATCAGTGCAATGGGCCTCAACTTATATTAGACTTCTCAAGTCCTAGATGTTTTTCAACCCACAAAGGACTGTATGGTCTAGCCTGACATCTTGTCTATCAGAAGCAACTGAATTTTACCAGATACTGAACCTAATAATTTATGTTTGACTAAAGACTATCTTCCAGAAAGACATCCAGTCTTCATCTGAAGACAGATAAGAGAGTCTACCACTTGCCTAGATCAGTGTTTCCCATCCTGTAGTCTACCGACCCCTGGTGGTTTGCGACGGTACTATAGGGGGTCTACAGAAAGTTTAAAATAGAAATTAAAATAAATGTACGGAGTCTCTTGCAGCCAGCACGTTCTTCAACCTGTGTTGCTTCCGGCAGCTCAGGAAGCAGCACGGGCTGAGGGACATTCAGGCTGCAGGCACAGCTGAATGAGAGGGTCTGTAAAATTTGAATAGATTGAAAAGGGGTCCGTATGCTCGAAAAGGTTTGGAGCCACTGCCCTAGGTAGTGGTTCATTACCCAATGGTTCATTACCCTCACTGTTTAAAATCTGTGCCTAATGTGAATTTGTCTAGCTTTAATTTTCAACACTGGTTCTAGTTATACCTTTCTCTCCTAGATTAAAGCCCTTTACCCATTAGTGCCCTAGTATTTTTTTCCTGTGGGTACGTCTACACTGCAGCACTATTTCAGGATACTTCTGGTATCCCAAAATAGCTATTTCCCATTTTACTCATAGACTCATAGACTTTAAGGTCAGAAGGGACCATTATGATCATCTAGTCTGACCCCCTTCACAGTGCAGGCCACAGAATCTCACCCACCCCCTCCTAGAATAATCCTCTCACCTATATCTCAGATATTGAAGCCTTCAAATACTTTGAAGACCCCAAGATGCAGAGAATCCTCCAGCTGTGATCTGTACCCCATGCTACAGAGGAAGGTGAAAAACCTCCAGGGCCTCTACCAATCTACCCTGGAGGAAAATTCCTTCCCGACACCAAATATGGCAATCAGCTGAACCCTGAGCATGTGGGCAAGACTCACCAGCCAGACACCCAGAAAGTTTGACAGCACACTCATTATTTTGAAATATCTTTTGACATAACGGGCACGCTATTCGGACTTCCCTGTAAATCTTGTTCCACCATGATTAAGGTACATTTCAGAATAGCGGTTTATTTCAAAATTTGGTGCTGTGTAGACAGCACCAAACTACAAAATAAGCTATTTTGAAATACACTTGAAATAAGCTACACAATTTGCTATGCAATTTGTTATTTCGAGCTAAGGGAGCTGTGTAGATGCAACCTGTGAAATTACTTCTACTCTGTGATCAAGTTCCACCTTGATCTTCTTTTTGTTATACCAAACAGATTGAGCTTTTAAGTTTCTCACTGCACAGAATTTTTTCCTGCCCTTGATTCATTCTTGCAGTTCTTTTCCTCACTCACTACAAGGGAGATTTAGGTTAAATAGGAGGGAAAATGTTGTAATTCTAAGTGTAGTTAAGCACTGAGGGTATGTCTACACTACCCCGCTAGTTCGAACTAGCGGGGTAATGTATGCATACCGCACTTGCTAATGAAGCCCGGGATTTGAATTTCCCGGGCTTCATTAGCATAAGCGGGGAGCCGCCATTTTTAAATCCCCTCTGCTTCGAACCCCGTGCAGCGCGGCTACACGGGGCTCGAACTAGGTAGTTCGGACTAGGTTCCTATTCCGAACTACCGTTACTCCTCGTGAAACGAGGTGTACCGGGCGGCTCCCCGCTTATGCTAATGAAGCCCGGGAAATTCAAATCCCGGGCTTCATTAGCAAGTGCGGTATGCATACATTACCCCGCTAGTTCGAACTAGCGGGGTAGTGTAGACATACCCTGAGATAGACTTCTAAGGAAGACTGTGAAATCCTCATCACTGCAGTTTTTGAATAGAGCAGACAAACACCTGTCAGGCATAATCTAGGTTTACTTGGTCCTGCGTCAGAGAAGGGTGCTGGGCTTGAAGACTTCTTGAAGTCCCTTCCAGCCCTGAATGTCTTTGATTCTATTTTCAGCTTTCTTTTTAGGATATGAATACCAGAACTGGTTACCATATTCTGACCTCCCAACTTCAAGTCTCCATTTCCTTAAGGAGGCACTGACAGGCAACAGCCTCTTTCAGCACTTTAACAGAGTGAAGCCCCTTAAGGACTTGGAGGGCCTGGAGTTAGTCATCCTTGATAACTAAATAGACACATCTGAGTTGGATCAGGTAATAACTTATAAAGGACAGCAGAAGGCTTCAGTTAAAGGTGAAGCTCAGAAGATTACAGGCTGTAAAAAAGGCTGCTGTAAGGAAGACCCATTTGGCAGCCAGTCAGAAACCTGAGGCTCCAGCCAGCTAGAGCTTGGGTGTGGTCTGCCAAGCCAAGAAAGACATGAAGAACAATTGGAGACGGATGGAATTTGAATGGGCACAGCTTTCCAAACAGTCCAGATCATGCAGGCAGTGTAACCGAGAATAGAATTTGGACCCATTGGGTTTTAATGGAAGGAATATGAATAACTGCCAAATTCTACAACTGCCAAATTCTCTGATTCATTCTCTTCAATGGTATGCAAGTAATTTCTATCTAAAAATTTAAATGGGCACACAGAATTATTTACATTAAAGGGGAGACTACATTTCTGGGGATATTGAACTGATGGAAATGTTTCTCTTACCTTTCATTTTGGCTGTGTAAAAAGCAACAGCATCTCCATTCCTCCAGAATATTTTGGCAGACTCCTTGGCGGAATGAGATACAAAGAATGTATCATTAGCTGAACTCCTTTCTAACAGTCCAAAAATAATGTAGTTGAGAACAAAGAGGACAATCCTTTCTCCAAATGTTTGGACCTTAGAGAAAAAACAGAGAAAAAAACGAAGAGACTCAAGGGATTTTGCCTTCCAAAGAAAATTTTCGTTTTGTCTTGTTTTTTAAGAGGGTGATGAATGTATACCACTCATCTGGGACAAAAATTCCTCATCAACCAGTTCAAATAATAGAAAGGTAGGGCTCAAAGGGACATCAAGAAGTCATCAAGTCCAGCCCCTTGCTGAGGCAGGATCAAGTCAACCTACACCATCGCTGACAGATGTCTGTCTAACTAGTTCTTAAAAAGCGCCGATGATGAGGATTCCACTACTTCCCTTGGAAACTTATTCCATATCGTAACTACCCTTTATAGCAGAGATTTTTCTAATACTTAACCTAACACTCCCTTGCTTCAGATTAAGTCATTACTTCTTGTCTGATTTTTCAGTGGCCATGGAGAATAACCCACCCTCTTCACAACAGCCCTTAATATAGCTGATGACTGTTACTATGTCTCTCCCCCTGCAGTCTTTCTTTTCTCAAGATTAAACATAGTATAAGAAGAAATTATAATTGCCTTTGGACATCACTGTCCATTTATAAATCCTGCCAATCCCCCTGCAAAGTACACTTTTACAGATGGGGAAATTGAAGCACGGGGAGGTGAAATGACTTGCCCATGGTCACAGTAAACCAGTGACTTAGCTGGATATAGAATTGGAGTGTTCTGGATTACCCACACTTGGAAGTGTACTAAAAGGAGACTATGTATGTTACCCTGTTTCTATTGACTGGAGTTTGATGGTACTGCATGTCACCGTGAACATATGCCAAATGATAAAATGACCCAAAATACATTAAAAGAACTCAAGGGGCCAAAATCCTTTTGTGATCCTCCACTGCTACAGAAGAAACTTGAGAAACAGCTGCGTAGAGCCAGTACTGCCAAAAGCGTACCTGCAGGTTGGGAGATGGGTTTACTCCTCAACCCTCTTCCCCCCACTTAGTTTGTAATGGCCTAGAGGAATGCTGACCAGCACCTGGTGACTAAGGAGTTAGGCTCAGATAGCTAGCAAAGGTGATGGCCAGGGGCCTGGGAGAACCAATCGATATAGAGGGTTGAAATTTGAATTGGATATAGATTCTGTGCCTACTTTCTTTGTGTGGGAGAGATAAATCAGGAGTTGAGAGGCACAGTGGCTACATCTATAATGCAGGCTTTTTGCGCAAGAACAGCCGTGGATCTTGCGGAGCATCTACACGGCACGTGTGTTCTTGAGCAAGTAAATTTATAGTAAAGCGTCAGAAAGTAGGGCTTCTTGCACAAGAGTTATTTCTCTCCCCACAAGGAATAAGCCCTCTTGCACAACAAGGCAGTGTGGACGGGCAACAGGAGTTTCTTTCACAAGAAACCCCTATGGCTAAAATGGCCATCAGAGCTTTCTTGAGCAAGAGAGCACCCACATTGCCATGGACGCTCTTGCGCAAAAGCACATCTCTTGTGTAAAAGCACATGGTAGTGTGAATGCACTCTTGTACAAGAATTTTTGCGCAGAAACTATTGCACAAAACAGTTCTTGTGCAAAAAGCCTGCAGTGTAGACGTAGCCAGTATGATTTAAAACCAGATAGGCCTACTGTGTCTCCAAGGAATTCAAAGCATGGGAGTGGACTGAGCAAAGAGAAAGCTGGAAGTAAGCAAAGGGAAAAGTGAATCCAGTCACATTCAGGATAATTTTTCTTTATTCTGTGGTTTGGTATGAACTGCTCTGTGTGATTCTATGCCTCTCCTACCCATTTACCACCATCTAAGCATTGTGTTGAGACGTTTCTCTGTGTTTTAATTTGTTTTCCTTAGCTGCTCTGTAACATTTAGCAACCAAGTATGCTTTCTCAAGTTTACCTTTTTTTTTGTAATAAAAAATCACTTTTTTAAAAAGTAATGATTTGATTCTTGTATCCTGGAAGGTCTGTTTGTGTGCATCTGCATGCCTCTGACTGAGGGATCAGCTACCAGACACTGCAGCTTGTTTTTCTCTTTTCTTTTTTAAAGCTCTTTTGAGGCAAAAGAGCTTGGGGTACCTCTAGGGTTGATTTCAAGCGTTCACCCCCGGTTTTTAGGGATCAAAAAGCACTTGATGGTGGCGGCGATTCCCCAAAATCTGTGCATTATGATTTTCGGGGGAAGTTTTTTGTACCCAGTGCCTGTAGAGGCAAGGTATTGAAGCTCTCTTGTGGGCCCTCACCTTCTGCACTCAGGCTACCAGAACGGGGAACAGCCCTGACAGTTCCCTATGCAAAACCTATTAAATCAGGTTGCATATTGAGATGGTTGAATTAATCCTTGCAAGATTAAACGCCTCATAGATTCAGGGAAAGAATGACAGAGGAAAGAAGGCAAGAAGCACTCTCAACAGGGAGGCAGAGGGGTGGGTAGGAAAGGGAAGTAAAGAAAGGCAAACTAGTTTGCCACATGGCAATACAAATCCTATATACACAGTGCAATTAACTTCTTAGAAGCTATGAATAGATTAATTTAAAAGTCAGTAATATCTTTCCATCTATTCTCCTAAAACAAAATTACTGCATCAGATCAAGTGTATTCATTGTGAAGAATAAAATAAAACAAACATTACATAAGAACAGCTCAATAAAATAAAAAAAGTCTAAAAAACAATCCACGGCAAAAGCTTGTAAATGGCTAGATAAGACACTGTGCCAAAGGGTGCCAAAGAGCATCTTCTCAACAGATGGTCAATCAAGAGGGACTAATGTGTTATTGCTAATGCAATAGTTCAGTTTATCTGACTGCTTCTTTACCTGCTATGAGGGCAACCTTGAAATAAATGGAAAGAGAGAGAGAAAAGTCAGCAAATGAATCATTAACAGGACATGGAAAATTAATATTTATTCAAGAGGTGAAGGTGGCTCTGCAGTAGGGAGACCAGGGTCATGCCCGAAGAGTATACACAATAAAAGCACAAACAAAATATATGTAATATTATGAAACACAGAACACTATATGGTTCCCACAGCTGGAATGCTTCACAATAATGGTTCACAATTGTCCAGACCTGTATAAGTCCTTCTCTAGAGGAATCAGCAGTCTTCAATACATCTTCAATGGACCACCAGGACTGGTTAAGGTAAACTGCCAATACTAAAATCAGAAACAAGGACACGTCAACTCAAAATAGCTGCTGCAAAGACTACTAACAAGCAAATTCATTGGTAAGAAAAAGAAAAGGAAGATCAGAATTAAGATCAACATTTGGAAAACTAGTTGCCTGGAGTTAGATATCTACAAAAAAGGGGTCTGATTTTTCACTCAAGAAACTAAATGAAGGTTTTTCACTTAAGAAACTAAATGAAGGTTTCCAAGTCCTAAAGCTAGCACCCTAACCACTGGATGACTGTGTTCCTCTAAACCAGGAGTGGAAAAACTGTGGCCCCTAGCTTGCCTGGATCTGGCCACGGAGGCTCGGGGCTCCTCCCCCAGCATTGGTGCTCCAACTTCCTCCTCCCCCCAACAGGGCTGGAACACACAATATCTACTAGTCTGGGCCCCCCCAGGCTCTGGTATGCAAGGGGATTGTGATGAGTGTCTTTTTCCTTCTCCGTTGAGGGCCACAACACTGTGGGTTTGGCTGGGGTTTTTTGCTTCTCACTTGTATGCAGCCCCTGACTGATTTTTCTGCGGGTCAGCGGCCTTTGACTCAAAAATGGTTCCCCACTCCTGCTCTAAACCATCCTACCAACAAACAGCAGAATCCTCTCAGTCAAGGACAAATTTATTGACAAGCAAGTGAAAAGGTTTTAAGGTGAGTGTCCTCGTTTACCTGTTTTAGCTCCAAGTTATAACAAATGTTTCTAATGTGCTTATGTTAGTTTCTCTTTTTACTTCAATCTTTACTAGCTCACAGTGGGCTTTCAGTCCAGGATCATTGCTTAGTTAACCTATTTGTTGAATAAACTATTAAGGTACATGCCAAAACACGTTACACTTTGTGCGCTGAGTTTAATAAAAAAAAAAAAAAAAAGCAGTTGCAGATGCCTGTTTATAACACCACATCCTATTAATTAAATATTATGAACGTATGGGCACAGGGTTTTCATACATTTTCTATGATGGATTCAATCTGTTCCCTCAATTCTTTTACTCCACTTTCCAATGCAAGTAGTCACTGCTCCACTACATATTCATGTCTAGTTACCAAAGACAGCAGAGTCAGACAAAGGGATATAAAGGCTTCACTGGGAGCTCCATGAGGTTAATCCCAAAACAGATTTGGAATGAAATCTACATCACCATCCTCACTCCTCACACACAGTGTGATGATCAGAAAAAATTGGAAAAAACGTTGGTGAAAATAGGGAAATGCATAAGCACATTCCAAGGAACTACTTGACTTTTATGGAACATTTACTGCGCTATTCAATAATTTAAGGGGTTGGGTGGATACAGTAGTTGACATAGCAACTGTCATATCTTATTACTTCGGCTACTTTGTCTACACAAATGCCTTCCTTAAGGAAAAACACTTCCCCAAATTCCATGCAAATGTATGCACTTTCTTCTAAAATTATCATTTTAAAGTAAATATCCAGTTCACAGTTTAACCTATGCATGTTTCCCCGAACTCTCATTCTTGTCTTGGAAATAATTTTGTCGAAATCATTTTGAATGCAGGTAAGTTTCAGAAGACCAAGTTCTCCTTTATCTAATCTTTTCCCTGTTGTATAGCTATCTCCAAAATTGTTTTTGATTTGGAAGAGCAAGATTCTGTTAGTACATACTTCCTGTGTGACCTGTAGCAAGTCTTTTTAATCCCCTTGTGCTTCCGTTCTCAGAAAGCTAAGATTAATAGTACAGTAAACTTCCGATAATCCGGCACTTTTAGGACCCAGGGGGTTCTGGACTATCAGAAGGGGGGGCTATGAGGGGTCTGGAGTGGGATGGGAGGGGTGCCACCCCAGACCCATCATAGCCCCCCCTTACGATAGTCTGGCTCTGCCCCAGGCGTCCCTGATTCAGCCGCTGCTGGTCAGTTTCAGCAGCAGATGAATCGGGGATGCCTGCAATAGAGCAGCTGGGGTGCTGCCGGGTTGGTCCCGCAGCGCCAAGAGGCGGCGCTACGGCACCAACCCAGCAGCACTCCAGCTGCTCTTGGGGACGCCTGGGACAGAGCAGATGGAGTGCTGCCGGGTTG